GCACACACACACACACACACACACACACACACAGTCGCACACGCACACACAGACACACACACAGACACGCACACACAGACACGCGCACGCGCACACGCACAGACACAGACACGCACACGCACAGACACGCACACACAGACACGCACACGCGCACGCGCACACGCACAGACACAGACACGCACGCGCACAGACACAGACACGCACGCGCACAGACACAGACACGCACGCGCACAGACACAGACACGCACGCGCACAGACACAGACACGCACGCGCACAGACACAGACACGCACGCGCACAGACACAGACACGCACGCGCACAGACACAGACACGCACAGACACAGACACGCACACGCACACGCGCACACAGACACGCACACGCGCACACAGACACACACACACACAAACGCAGACGCACACACGCACACGCACACAGACACACACGTTTACTCTTATATTCACATCCATTTATCTGTTGACTGTGAGTTTTTCAAGAGTTCTCAAGCTCTCATTGTTTTTCTAGATATGAGAATCATCCGAGTTTGATTCTGATTTCAGTGACAAACAATGAGAGCTGATGCTGAACAACACTACATTCATGTATTAAAAGAGTTTGAGTTAGTAAAAACAGCAGCTGCATATTTCCCAGTTTACGAGACCCAACCGGATAGTAATCAAAATAAATGTGAACTACATGACGCCACATACACACGCATGTTACAGCAACAGATTCCCCTCAATGTTTTAGTCAAACGAAGATGACCAAAGATGAGCAACACTGGGTTTGTGATTTCCCAGCGTGTATGAGATATGATGCGGTTACTGGAATAGCATTATTGTTTTGCTGCTTGCTGACTCTATTTCAGCTTTTCTTGCGGTTTTGTAAATGTATTGTGTTCTGTTTGATTATCACAATTCTTGAGGATTTAAACTTATTCAGTAATGTTTTATATATTATGTCCAATCAAAACTAAGTTCAGACCAGAGTAATTCTGTCCACCCTATTAAACATTTTTAAAGGATAATTTCATAATTTAAGCATTAAAATACTAATAATTCAGTGTAAAAAAATATATATTGTGGAGTTTTATTAATGTTTTACTTTTTTTTTTAAATACAAAAATAATAACTAACCAATTGTTACTAATTGGAAAATTTATTTTATTAGCAGTACTAATTTACTGGCTGAATGAGATATTTTGTATCTAGTGAATGAACAAATTCAAAAGTGTTACTGAAACATCATCATGTTGTATCTTCTGCTGTTTCCAGTGAGGCTTGCTCTCTCACCTGATGTAACTGCCGTGATACGCCACGATGTTCCTGTGTTTGCAGCTCTTCACCATCACGATCTCTTGCTGGATGACAGAGAAGTCATCTTCTGTGAAAGACAGACGGTCTGTGAGCAGCGCATCATCTACAGACAGGTCAGTATGTCAGACTCAGCTCTTACCAGGCTCCATTTTAATGATTTTAATGGCTGCGAATTCCCCATTCTGTTTACTGCGAGCCTGAAAACACACACAAACATCATCATGATGCATTACTGTCATTAATGCGGTTTAAGAATCATAGACTGAGAGATGTCTTCCCTTTCAATGCAAACTCTACAGACTGACATTTCACAATTTTGACTCATAATTTCAATGGCAAGCTAATTTTCTTGATAAGGTTAACCTCAAATTTGAATGTTTATTTGAATTGAAACCATAAAAATGTTGCAAACCATAACAACATAGTTAATGGGCATTTAATATACTCCTTGACAATATGCTATTGGAGATCAAATATTGAAAATATTGTGTTCAAATGTCCACCACAGAAGGAAATGACATCACATGGCTTTGTGATAAATCATTTCTGAAGCGGTGTTTGGTTTGTGACATAGTTGACAGAATTTTTGCACACATGAGTAAAATGAAATATTTTCTTATTTTGAAATAATTTAAACTCGATCTATTTTTTTTCTAAAATATTTAGATATATAAATAATCTTGATTTTAACATGTTTATTCGTTATTTTTTATCAATTTAAAAAGCAGACATCACAAAAACTGTAATTTAAGGGACATAAAGACAATTTCATGCAAACTGAGAAACAGTGCATAAAATATAGTATCTGTGAGATAGTACTATATATCTTAATGAATAAAATATGCTATTTGTGCTAGAAAAAAAAAATATATAATTATCATCAATGGACATGAAATGTACCCTAAATTATATATATATATATGAAATTTTCAGGAACAAAAGGCCTGAGAAAGACTGTAAAATGTCTAGTCCGCAGCACCAAAATAAACTCAGCCCACAACTGAGGCATATTCACACTAAACACAAACACAGGACTGTACTGTACGACTATAAACACACTGGAGGAAAAACACACGCCTGACTCGAAGAGTGGAAAGTTGTTCAGAGATTCACACGCTCGCTCACACACACACACACACACACAGACACACACAGACACACACACAGACACACACAGACACACACACAGACACACACAGACACACACACAGACACACACAGACACACACACAGACACACACAGACACACACACAGACACACACAGACACACACACAGACACACACAGACACACACACAGACACACACAGACACACACACAGACACACACAGACACACACACAGACACACACAGACACACACACAGACACACACAGACACACACACAGACACACACAGACACACACACAGACACACACAGACACACACACAGACACACACAGACACACACACAGACACACACAGACACACACACAGACACACACAGACACACACACAGACACACACAGACACACACACAGACACACACAGACACACACACAGACACACACAGACACACACACAGACACACACAGACACACACACAGACACACACAGACACACACACAGACACACACAGACACACACACAGACACACACAGACACACACACAGACACACACAGACACACACACAGACACACACAGACACACACACAGACACACACAGACACACACACAGACACACACAGACACACACACAGACACACACAGACACACACACAGACACACACAGACACACACACAGACACACACAGACACACACACAGACACACACAGACACACACACAGACACACACAGACACACACACAGACACACACAGACACACACACAGACACACACAGACACACACACAGACACACACAGACACACACACAGACACACACAGACACACACACAGACACACACAGACACACACACAGACACACACAGACACACACACAGACACACACAGACACACACACAGACACACACAGACACACACACAGACACACACAGACACACACACAGACACACACAGACACACACACAGACACACACAGACACACACACAGACACACACAGACACACACACAGACACACACAGACACACACACAGACACACACAGACACACACACAGACACACACAGACACACACACAGACACACACAGACACACACACAGACACACACAGACACACACACAGACACACACAGACACACACACAGACACACACAGACACACACACAGACACACACAGACACACACACAGACACACACAGACACACACACAGACACACACAGACACACACACAGACACACACAGACACACACACAGACACACACAGACACACACACAGACACACACAGACACACACACAGACACACACAGACACACACACAGACACACACAGACACACACACAGACACACACAGACACACACACAGACACACACAGACACACACACAGACACACACAGACACACACACAGACACACACAGACACACACACAGACACACACAGACACACACACAGACACACACAGACACACACACAGACACACACAGACACACACACAGACACACACAGACACACACACAGACACACACAGACACACACACAGACACACACAGACACACACACAGACACACACAGACACACACACAGACACACACAGACACACACACAGACACACACAGACACACACACAGACACACACAGACACACACACAGACACACACAGACACACACACAGACACACACAGACACACACACAGACACACACAGACACACACACAGACACACACAGACACACACACAGACACACACAGACACACACACAGACACACACAGACACACACACAGACACACACAGACACACACACAGACACACACAGACACACACACAGACACACACAGACACACACACAGACACACACAGACACACACACAGACACACACAGACACACACACAGACACACACAGACACACACACAGACACACACAGACACACACACAGACACACACAGACACACACACAGACACACACAGACACACACACAGACACACACAGACACACACACAGACACACACAGACACACACACAGACACACACAGACACACACACAGACACACACAGACACACACACAGACACACACAGACACACACACAGACACACACAGACACACACACAGACACACACAGACACACACACAGACACACACAGACACACACACAGACACACACAGACACACACACAGACACACACAGACACACACACAGACACACACAGACACACACACAGACACACACAGACACACACACAGACACACACAGACACACACACAGACACACACAGACACACACACAGACACACACAGACACACACACAGACACACACAGACACACACACAGACACACACAGACACACACACAGACACACACAGACACACACACAGACACACACAGACACACACACAGACACACACAGACACACACACAGACACACACAGACACACACACAGACACACACAGACACACACACAGACACACACAGACACACACACAGACACACACAGACACACACACAGACACACACAGACACACACACAGACACACACAGACACACACACAGACACACACAGACACACACACAGACACACACAGACACACACACAGACACACACAGACACACACACAGACACACACAGACACACACACAGACACACACAGACACACACACAGACACACACAGACACACACACAGACACACACAGACACACACACAGACACACACAGACACACACACAGACACACACAGACACACACACAGACACACACAGACACACACACAGACACACACAGACACACACACAGACACACACAGACACACACACAGACACACACAGACACACACACAGACACACACAGACACACACACAGACACACACAGACACACACACAGACACACACAGACACACACACAGACACACACAGACACACACACAGACACACACAGACACACACACAGACACACACAGACACACACACAGACACACACAGACACACACACAGACACACACAGACACACACACAGACACACACAGACACACACACAGACACACACAGACACACACACAGACACACACAGACACACACACAGACACACACAGACACACACACAGACACACACAGACACACACACAGACACACACAGACACACACACAGACACACACAGACACACACACAGACACACACAGACACACACACAGACACACACAGACACACACACAGACACACACAGACACACACACAGACACACACAGACACACACACAGACACACACAGACACACACACAGACACACACAGACACACACACAGACACACACAGACACACACACAGACACACACAGACACACACACAGACACACACAGACACACACACAGACACACACAGACACACACACAGACACACACAGACACACACACAGACACACACAGACACACACACAGACACACACAGACACACACACAGACACACACAGACACACACACAGACACACACAGACACACACACAGACACACACAGACACACACACAGACACACACAGACACACACACAGACACACACAGACACACACACAGACACACACAGACACACACACAGACACACACAGACACACACACAGACACACACAGACACACACACAGACACACACAGACACACACACAGACACACACAGACACACACACAGACACACACAGACACACACACAGACACACACAGACACACACACAGACACACACAGACACACACACAGACACACACAGACACACACACAGACACACACAGACACACACACAGACACACACAGACACACACACAGACACACACAGACACACACACAGACACACACAGACACACACACAGACACACACAGACACACACACAGACACACACAGACACACACACAGACACACACAGACACACACACAGACACACACAGACACACACACAGACACACACAGACACACACACAGACACACACAGACACACACACAGACACACACAGACACACACACAGACACACACAGACACACACACAGACACACACAGACACACACACAGACACACACAGACACACACACAGACACACACAGACACACACACAGACAC